CCTTTTTTGGGCCCCGACAACACTCAATCCCCTCCCCCCCCCCCACTCATGCGATTAGGGCAGTTTTCCCCTAACCCACAAAAGAATCCCAGAACTTCCTAGGGAAGCTAAGGCCCAGTGCTGGGAGTCCCTCCCAAAACTCCAGAACACAGTGAGAGAGAGTAACAGTTGTTGTGAGAAAGGACCGTATTATCTCCCACATCATACCCCATTAATTTCACAAGTGTCATTTTAACCAACATGAATATACATTTACCTTTTAAAAGTCTGCCGAACTGCAATATCTGAATATGTGTCTAGTTGTGCTAGTGAAAATAAAAAGCAAAGCGTACATGTGAGTGAACAATGGTAGCCGCCATTACTATCCATCGTGTCGTATATTTTGTACTGCTACACTGTCACTCAATGGTGGTATCAAAGAAACAAATTATTCCTAAATGTGTAATAAAAGTCAATGGTGTTATTTTAGGACAAGTACAGAAATTTAAGTATCTGGGCACATGGATAACATCAGATGGCAGATGCATAACTGAAATAAGAAACAGAATTGGACAGGCAAAAGCAGCATTTTATAAAATGAAAAACATCTTGTGCAATATATCCTTGTCATTGCGAGTTAGAAAAAGAATTCTTGCCTGCTACATACATCCAGTTTTAACATATGGATGTGAATCCTGGACAATCGGTAGGCAGGCCAAACAATTTTTAGAGGCCTCAGAGATGTGGTTTTACAGAAGAATGCTTAGAATACCTTGGACAGCCAAAAAGAGCAACCAAGAGGTTTTGAAAGAGGCGGGAGCCCGAAGACAACTTATCACAGACATCAGAAAGAGACAGTCATCATTTTTCGGCCATGTTATCAGAAGAGGGAAAATAGAACATGTTGTGACCACTGGAAAGATCTGTGGAAGGAGGGATAGAGGAAGACAACGAGAGAAGATGCTTGACAGTCTTGTTGCATGGCATGGAGGTGTGTCGGCACACGAACTGATACATGCTGCAGGAGATCGCAGATTATGGAGAGGCATGATCGCCCACGCCAGTCGGCAAGGCACCTGATGATACTGATGACACTGTCACTCAAACAGTCACACTGGGACATGCCGGCAATGCAGGAGATCCCAGTGTGGGTTTCGGGCCCCTTTGTGGGGGGGGGGGATATATATATACACTCCTTCCTATAAAACATGTCGTAGGAGTCGACTAATTGGCGGGTTTCTTACAAAGTAGGAGTGCATCTGCCTGGGAGGCAAGGAGCTGACAATCTGCATACAAATGGCAGATGTTTCTTTCAACGGATCAACATCATGGCACACGGGTGGACCCCATAAGTATGTCGATCACACCGTGTGTGTTTTGCTGACTGAAGACACTTTGTATGGCTACGGCATCCAGCGTAACTGACTCAGTTTGTGACTGGAATCACTGGCATAGGCGGTTGAGCAATTATGGGCCAAGCTCGTTTTCTGTGATGCCGGAATCATTACCAACTAACGGGTGTACCCCATAAGTGCTCCATTCTTCTTCTAAATCAAACATGAGTCCGAAGAATCCCAGCGCAGTGCACGAACTCTTTTGCAACGATGAGGATCCTGAAATACTTTGGGAAGATTTTTAACTCAAAATTTTGCCCAAGCAGCGCCCTGTAAAACGGATGCGCACGCAACACTCAGTGAAACAAGTCTGAATTCCAGAGGTGGATAAACTATCAGAACTTTCCGCCTGATGCAGCCAATGAACGCGAAGTAGATTACTGAACATTGCTGTCATACGAATGCAATATGTGCATCCATTCATTGTCCCGTTGTGCTCTTATGCGTCGCATAGGGCTCGCAGTATATTTTTCCATCCCTTTCTATTATGTGCAGTCATCTATATATCGTGGATGGAATCCAGTCCAGCACCTTTGTCCTCTTTCATCAACATTCTTTTTAAGGTTTCTCTGTTGGCGTCGTTTTCTCAGTCCACATACTGTATTTCCCTGCATGTGCCACACGGTTGACCGTGGTTTCCTGGATTTGTATGTTTGATTCTCATCTTTGAGATGTTAATCCTACATACTGTAATTTAGGAGGATTATATCTGCTTCTATCTACGCCTGTCTCGCGGCATCAGGCCAGGAAAAGATCCCTGGAACAGGCCCTTTCTGTGTGCGTCGTATAAAGTACTTTTCAGTGTCTGATATTTATGCGTAGTCGACCTCTGGATCTGTTACCGCTGTAGCCGTATAACTTTGCTCTCTGTGGTGCTCTGTCTGATGCCAGCTCTTCACTCCTTAAAATCTGGTTTTAACAAACCCCACACAGGGAATCTTATTAAAACCTAGTGCACTGTGAGCGGAGCGGTGGGCTGAACAGTTAGAACGCTGGGCTTCAATGTGGGAGACACCGTTCGAAACCTCGGCAAGGCTGGAGGATTTTTTTCTGTCGGGGGCAATATAAAATCTTCACCTGCACAATTGTGGCGACAGCACTAGCCATGCGGCTAATAATAAATTATCAATAAAGTAGTAATTGGCACCGCGTCAGCAGTGGTTTTGTGTACAGCACTGGCAATCTCCTCTTTTTCTGTATGTTCACCAGCTGTAAACTGATGGAAAGTTCTGGTTGTTAGTTCACTAATAGAATTTGGTGTTGCATGCATGTCCGTTTTACAGATCAAGCTTATTTGTAGACAGACTGCTGTTTCCTTGCCTCTCAGGCGATGCACTCTTCGAAGGAAGCCCACAGTTAGTAGACTCTCAACATATTTGGGGTGGGGTGGGGGAGGAGGGCAGTGGGTCTATCCTTGTTTCTCCCTCAATAGGGCCTGAAACCTACATGAGGAAACTGACAATGAAAAAAAAATGCAAAGCCGCTGACACTCAAATAAATTCTGGCTTTATTCACATGAACTGTTATATACAATGGTAGATGAGCAAAAGCTATGTAACGTACATCATTTAACATATGACCAACAAAACAGGCAGTCACCATGGTCTAGCGGCTAGACACTAGCCTGCGGATCGGAAGGTCCTGGGTTCGGGTCCTGGAGAGGGCCGGAATTTTGTAAAAAAATGACCTTGGTTGATCCAGCCTTGAGTGGGTACTAGGTACAGTCCTGGGAAGTAAAGGTGGCTGGCGTGATGCTGACCACATCATCCAGCAAGTGCCATATGGTCTTAAAAATATAGGTCTAGCCCTATATACCCAATACGCCTGAATGTACAGAAGTAATTTAAACACAACACAAACTATGACTAGGCAGTTCAATGGAGGAAATGAGAAAGACATGAAAAAAGTTCAACTAAGTTTACTCAAGGACCAAAATTTCGAAAATATGTTTCGCCAAAGGCTAGAGCCCAAACATAGAAAGAGCATTAATACAATATAGCTGGTAACGATCTGCGGGCCATTGACTAGGCCTCTAAGGGCCCGCTTACACACAACGCAGCATCATTCTCCCCAGATATAGGTCCTTAATATGACGATATCTTACATTTTATTGGTTATCCCCCCTATAAAAACAGCAACGGTATTTTTGTCTTTATATTATCACTACTAAAGAATAGACACATTATGGGCATATTACTGGAGACTCAGTCAATCCAATCCAAAATACATAACATAACCTGTGGGAAAAAACAGTTCCTCACTACGGCAAACAATTTATACAACAAAAGGTATGGACATAGGTGAGGACACAATGTTATTTCAGGAAATGTGAAGAAAAAAATCAGGTCACAATGTTACTATAAGAAATGTGAAAAACGGTGAGGTCATAATGTAACTACTGTATAAGAAGTGAAAATAGGTGAGGTCGCAATGTTACTATAATAAATATGGAAACGGGTGAGGTCACAATGTTACTACAAAAAATGTGAAAACAGGTGAGGTTGCAATGTTACCACAAGAAATGTGGAAACAGGTGAGGTCACAATGTTACTACAAGAAATGTGGAAATAAGTGAGGTCACAATGCTACTACAAGAAATGAGGAAATAGGTAGGGTCACAATGTTACTACAAGAAATGTGGAAATTGGTGAGGTCACAATGTTACTACTACAAGAAAGGTGGGAGATTGCATAAGTAGTTTGCACTGTACTGGGGCAGCTTGAAATCGGACCAGGCAGGGATAAAAATGCTACTACCACTGATCTGTCTGCCATCAAGATGATCTCTAATATCTGTTTTTTGCTGGGGACTTCTTCTTCGCATTCACCAGTTGTAAACTCTGGCGGAAAGTTCTGGTTGTTCATCCACTTCTGGACTGCAGTTCTGTTCCAGAACCGGAGTGTTGCGTGTGCATCCTTTTTTACAGATTTGATTCATCTGTATGCAGACTGCTGGTTCTTTGCCTCTCAGGCAGATGCACTCCGACTTTAAAGGAAGCTCCTATTTAGTCGACTCTTATGACATGTTGGGGACTGACAAAGCAGAATTTAGCATACCATATTTTCCCATGTAGACCTGTCATAAAAGGCACTAATTAGGGAAATGGTGAAAATGAAAATGTTGGGCCAAAAGTTACGGCAGCCTGGCTGTAAACCACAACACAGGTCAACTGCCCTTTTCAGGGCATATGCAGATGAAGTAGAAGAAGCATGCCCCATTGGAAACTAAAATTATTCTGTGTGCCAAGGTTACCAGTCTTACCACTGACTACTGGTTAAGTCATTTCAACAAAAAGATTTGGCCAGACATATCAAAAAATCTGCTCAGCAAGTGTTTTTTTTTAAATGGCACTGTTTCTAAAGAATTTCTTCTTCTTCTTAGCGGTCACTGGCTGTAAACTCGGTGGAAAGTTCTGGTTGTTCTAGAACCTGATTTTTTGCATGCAGACTGCTGGTTTCTCGCATCTCAGGCAGATGCACTCCGATTTGAAGAAAACATCCTAATTACTCGACTTTTTTGACAAGCGTGTTAGGGAGTAGTCCACCTATCACTCCCCCCCCCTCTCCCCCCCCCCCCCCCCCCGCTCCGTGGGGACCTGGAATTTACTAAGAATTCACAAATGAGACCTCAATCTGGCGGTGGTGTTGTAAAAACGATACTGTATGTTTCCATGGCGTTGGCAACAGGTTTCAGTTCATACACCTCACTGACAGTCTCCTTGTGTTTGAGGTTCTCGTGGCGCCGAAGTTTGTTCTTCTCTCTTGCCGTGTATGGGCAGTACCGGCACTCAAATGGTTTATAGTGCTCGTGAATCCACATATGCTTCTTCAAATTACTTGCTGTCTTGGTGGTGTACGTGCATCGGGTACATGCAAAGGGTTTGAGACTCGTATGCATAATCCTCGTATGGCTATCTAGAAGGTTCTTCAGCTTACACGTATACGTGCACCTCGTACACTTAAATGGTTTGTCTTCGCTATGAATCACCATATGCTTTTTCAGGTTAATTTTTTCCCGACATTCGTAGTCACAGAGTTCACATTTGAATGGCCGAAGGTTAGTGTGGGTAGCCAGGTGCCTGTCCAGATGTGCTCTCCAGGGGGTGGTGAAATCGCAGATTTCGCACAAATACCGGTGCTTGCCAGTATGGGTTTGAACATGGCGCTTGAACTCCAGCTTCGTCTCACAGGAAAAGTCACACTGTTTGTACTTGCAGTAGAATGAGTCTCTGCTCTTATGCTCCGACATCGCATGGAGCTTTAAGTCACAGTGGTTCACAAACGACAAGTTGCAATATTTACAACCATAATACGTCTTTCTGGTGTGAACCCTGACCCCATGCCGCTTAAACTCGTACCCATCATTGGTGCAGAAGGAGCACAAGGAGCAGTGAAATTTCCTATCTGGATTGTGGTTTTTTATATGCCTCTTGAGGCTTATCTGAGACTTGCACGCCCGCTGGCACTGGGGACATACAAAATCTTTACTGCTAGTATGAGTCACAACATGGGTTCTCATGGCATACGTGGTTTTGCTGGTGTAGTTGCACTGATCGCAGGAGTAAGGCCGGTGGTCAGGGTGAGATTCGGCTAAATGCACGGTCAGTCGTAAGCAAGCAACTTTACATACAGGACACACAGACACTCTGTTTTTTCTCCCCGTATGTAACTCTGATTTGTTGTGTTCGGAGAGTTCCTTCTTGGAACAGCTGGCAAACCGACATTTAGTGCACGTATACAAGCTGACACTGCTGTGCTCCTTTTCCGCGTGCGACATCAGATTTTTGTGCGTCTTCAACTGAACACTGCACACAGGACAGACGTAACCATTTTTCTGTTGCTTAACAGCAGGTCTGTCAATGTGAGCCAGAAGATGAATTTGAAAACTTAATTCCAACTCAAATGCTGCACCACAAACTGAACAAGCAAACGGTTTTGATTCCTTGTGTACCTGCTTCAAGTGGTGGCCAAGCTCAAGATCCTGATTACAGGCGAACTCACAATGCTTGCAGGTTTTTCTTACGGCTGGTTGTTCAGGAACTGCAGCAGCTTCTTCAGGCTCGGCTGGTTTGCTAGCATCATTAACTAAATCATCTGCCCATAGAGGTTCACTCTTAATATCCTTTGCATCTCCTTCTGAACAGGCTGTGGCATCCCCTTCATTTGCTGCGACCACTACATTCGTATTTCTGTCCTGGAAATTTATGATCTCACACTGAACCCCGACCTCTACTTTCGCATCGGATAAAACAAGCTCCGGGTGGTCTAATCCATCAATGGGAAATCGGCTAATTCGCCGATATTTCATCCGGTCTTGATCGAGTAGACTCTTATACAGAACCGTCTGTGTGGCCTCACTTTGCATCTGCATAGTACCTGCTCGCATCTGCTCCAGTTCCGCCAGATCACGCACAATAATTTTCTCTTGGCTGCCATCTTGTATACTAGTCACAAATTGTGCCGGCTCCTGAGCACCACATAAAAAACTATCAATGTCCTCGACTTTCACTTCAGTTATAATATTACCACTGGCTTCCATGGGCAGGGGATCTTCTCCTTCCACTCTGGTCACATATTCAATCGTCTGCCCCTCCTGGCCTTGATTCTGTGCCTCTTCCACAAAAATCTGAGCAATATTGTCTGCTTCTCTAAGCTGACCACGCCGAGATTGCTGAGCCAATTCTAAAATTGTCTGGGCAACACTATGTGGTAAATCCTGACCATTAAGGTCTAAAACAACCATGACTGCGCCATCTTCAAATCCGTGTCCATCCTGAATTTCAATGTGGTATTGCACTCCTTCAGCCATTGCTCACACTGTATATTGTGTGTGCTGATGAAGGCTCAATAGCCGCAACGTTCACGTTTTGTTTGTATTTGTTATATTGTAAAGCTTGCTAATATACTTTTCGTTCGGGTTTATATCTTTTATCACACTGTATAGACACACAACTGATGGTCATTCAAGAAACTTTAGGAGGGATCCACGCAAACTTTTCCTTTGTGATCCTCTATGAATTTGATTTCCCTGGAAAAAAATACAGGAAAAATATGAACTGCCACAGAAAAATAAAATCATTATAGGTTTTTGTTGTTGCTTCTACATTTTCTCTTACTTGGGTACACTGATAACATAAGAGGGAAGATGTATTAAAAAAGTGAAAGTCGAGAGGATCGACTTTATTACACCCATATCCCCCGTGTGGGTTCCGGAGCCCCATTGTGGGGAAAACAAGAATAGACCCACTGCCTCCCCAAAAGCATGTCTAAGAGTCGACTAATTGGGGAGCTTCCTTTGAAGTTGGAGTGCATCTGCCGGAGAGGCAAGGAACCAACAGTCTGTATTCAAGAGAATGAGATCTGTAAAACTGATGCACACGCAACACTCAGGTTCTGGAGCAGGACTGCAGTTCAGTAGTGGATGATCAACCAGAACTTTCTGTCAGAGTGTACAGCTGGTGAACGCGAAGAAGAAGAAGAAGAAGAATTACACCCATATGGCCTGGTCTCTCCTCCCAGAATGGCTAGCCACCAGCTGAGAGCACTGCACAGAGCATGAACTCTGCAGCTCCGGGGATGATCCACAAGGATCTCAGTAAAAACTGCACTAGTGAACTGAACAGCACAGTCGTGAGAGGAAACGGACCTTCAAAGCATGAGGCAAATGGCTTCACCACTTTGTCTCTTTTTTTTTTTTTAAGAAGTCAAATGTAGAATAGCTCAAGCAAAGACAGCATTTTACAAAAATACGAATATTCTATGCAAAAATCTTCCTTTGTCAATTGAGTTAAGAAAGAGAATTCTTAACAGCTATTTAAATCCTATCCTGATATGTGGAAGTGAATCATGCACAGTTGGCCAAAATGAAAAATTTGGAAGCTGCAGAGAAGTGGTTTTATAGAACAATAATAAGAGTTGAGTCAAGAATTGACATCATAGTACTTGGGGCATTCACATGTGTGCTCCGTCCTAATCTTCAGCAGCCAGTGCAAATTTCCAATACTAATGGTACCAGTCACAATCTGGACTTATGTCCGTCTTGCCTCTCCTTGGAGTGTGGGGAGCTTGCCTGACCCTCTGGTTATTAATTATGAAGTAGAAGTGGGTCAAGCGTTCACCTGGTGCAGACATGTTGGATTTGAAACAAGAACAGTGATGTCACTCAAATATGTTTTTTGAAGCTTTCTTGAAACGAGTGCTTGTGAAATTTTTCCACTTTTATGTAAAGATGAAAGCAGAACTTTTAAAAACACACACACACAAATTGTGGTAATCTGGCTAATTTTGAAGATATTTACAAACATTTCTGACCATGAAGCACATTGCGTGTGTGCTACCCAAAAAAAATTTTTTTTAGATGCAAAACCATGTTATGTCACAGCCTGATATCTCTGCAATAACTCCTAATGCTTTCCCCTTTTTTCACGGCCGCAATACACTTGTACACGCATGCCAGAAGAGGCAAATTTAATGGCCAATTAGCAAACATGAGAATATCATCTATTTATTCAGTAATTTAAAAAATTCAATTTATCGTTGGATTGGATATTGTAATCTCTAATTAGCTGTGACTAATAGTTTTATTAGTCAAACCAATATATGTATATATATATACATACACACAAACACACACACTTCCACTAGCATCCCTGTGATGATGTCATCTACCATTGTACTGCAAGTGTTTGTCACAGCAGTTAGCGACTTTACTAGTCCTAGTAATAGAGGCAATTAAAAAAAAATATTAATGTTATGTTCTGTAAAATTAAAAGGGAGACCATTTATACTTACATACTAAATAATTAATAACAGTGTCAGCCATCATAACAAAATAATATTAATAATAACATTCATAAAAAAGTAGGGAAGAGTTTTCAAAGATTTCTGATTTATGGGCGACAAGTTTTAACTCCCTTTTATTTTTTCTTCTTTATTCATTTTTCCCACAAAAACTTGGCTATCCTCCGAATAACGGTCCCAAATTATCAAGGCTGAAAATATACCCTAACAGGGCCTTATTCACATGCCAATTGCAGATTTTGGGGGACTTAAATTGCACACTTTCGGTGCAGCGTGGATTGGGGCTAAACTAGATGGTTGGGAATCAGGAGCAGCTACCGCATCTCCTGCAGCTTCCTTCATTTTATTTGCTCGTAAGTCCAGCTATCTAGTTTAGTCCTAATCCACGCCACATGTAGCGGCATGGAAGATACTCTCGCGGTGGCGGCATAGTCCCCAGAAGTCAGCAATTCGGCGGTGGTGGTATAGTGACCGGAAATCTGCAATTGACATGTGACTGAGGTCCTGTTAGGGTATATTTTCAGCGTCGAAAATTTGGGACCGTTATTCGGAGGATAGCCAAAAACTTCAATAACTCGAAATAACTTACAATTGACAAACAGACATTAATGAGGTACCGTTGAAAACAGCTTTTCAATGTGTATGCAGCTGTACTGGTTTATTTCAGGAAAAAATGATTTTGAAAATTTGACTAAAGTGCCTAGGAAAACCCCTGCTTAAGGCTAAGAATCTTATCCTGCCTTATTATCTTCTTAACCATCTTAGTAAGATGGTTAAGAAGATAATAAGGCAGGACGAGACTCAGTGTCGAACATCAGCGAAAACAACTTGATTCATTTGGCACATTTGTTGATTTGAACATTCACTACTATTTCCTTAAATCAAACATCACAGTAATGTTTCACTCATCTAGTAGTAGAAGTATACAACGATGCACTGTGGCGACATTGATCATAAACGTAACCATAACAAAAGATGTAAATACCGTGAACTAGCTGATAGACAGTACCGGAGACGTGATAGACAAAGACACAGAGCAGAGCGTTTACGGGCTGATCGCCATCTTGTCCTAGGCGCGATATTGACAGGCAATAAGGAGGGAGGAAATGCCAGCTACTTCACACATGTGCAAGCCATTCACGTAAAGGGCCCCCCCCCCCTTCTACACCTTTTAGCACAAATGGGATATATTGCTAACCCTAAAATTTGATAGATCAATTGGTAGATAGTGGGTGTTGTAGTCAATAGCACATCTGCCGCCTTTACGTCACAGAATATTACCTGGTACCTATTTTAGCCTGGACGATGTAACAGCCAAGATTAATTTTGAACGTTCCTTCAAAATCAGAGAGCATTTGCCCTGATGCTATGAACCGTTAGTCTGCATACAAATAAGCCAGATCTGTAAAATGAATGTGCATGCAAAACTCAAGTTCTGTGACAAGACTAAAGTCCAGAAGTGGGTGAACAACCAGACCTTTCCGCCGGTATAAGCCAAGAAGAGGAGAATTTGTAACCAAAATATTCGCAAGGCGGGTTTGACCCTAGACCCTCTGGCCAGCAATCGAGCGTCTAGCGACCCACGGCCAGCTCCAGATTTATAAGGCCGTACAGCTCGACGGGAATTCCCGTTCTTGTGCAGGAATTGAGTCCCTCTGCGTCCACAGTTTTTATCGAGGAGATGTATACGCAAATTAAACTACAGTTTCATTAATTTTCGACAGATTTTTTTTTAGAACTATACGTCATTTTTAAGGTAAATAAGTGTGCCGAATAAATATAACAATAAAGCTCTTACAGACAAACAAAAATGATTTTGCTACAGTCAACATGAACAAAAACATCAATAACGTTTAGATGTAAACTAAAAGTTGTTCCAGCAAAAGTAAAGAAATATCAGTGCTAACTCTTTGATTCTGAGAGGGTATTGCTGCCTCGGAGGAGCGGGGGGGGGGGGGGGGAGGGTGACATTTGTACTTTATCAAATTTAGCGCATAAAAATACTGCTATGAAACATACACACATCATACATAACATAAATTTAAATAATTACTTTACTTTACTTAGTCGCTCCTCTTCTACCTTGGGGTGTAGAGGTTTGCCAGAGAGATCGCCAGACGTCTCTATCAGCAGTTTTCTTTCTGCCTTTGTTCCATTCTAGTCCTCTGTCAGTTAGGGACTGACGTATGTTGTCTTCCCAGCGCACCCTGGGTCGTCCTTGAGGTCTGGTTCCCTGGTTCTTAGCCTCCCATGCCTGCCATGGTGGCCGATTTTCTCCCATTCTGCATACATGTCCAAACCATCGTAACTGTGACTGATCCACTCGGGTTTGTAAGGACTGGGTATCAAGATCTTGACGTATTGTCCGATTGCGGACTTTGTCCCGTCTTGTCACTTGGACCACCTTTCTCAGATATCTCATTTCCGAGACCTGCAGCTGGCTTCTGTGAGCTGTTGTCATTGCCCATGACTCACACCCATAGGTCAGGACTGGTACATAGGTAGAGCGGTAAACAGCCATTTTCGTCCTCTTGCCAATTTCTCTTTTGCTAAGAAACCCTCGCTTTATGGCCTGAAAGAGTCTCCCAGCAGCTGCTTTTCGTGTAACTAGCTCAGTCTTAATGCCTCCATTTCGGTCTAATACAACTCCAAGGTATTTGAACTGGTTAACCTGCTCCAATGCATACTGTCCCATCATGATCTGGTGTTTCTTCTCCTCTCCTGAGATCACCATGGTTTTAGTATTGGAGATACTGATGGTCATCCCTCTCTTTTCAAGCTCTTCCTTCCAGACAAGTATGTTGGACTGGAGGTGTGCCTCTGATTTAGCTATCAGGGCCACATCATCTGCAAAGGCCAGCTCTGATATACAGATTGGTCTCATCTTCCAGTACCCTACAGAGTACTTCTTTGTCTTCTCCTTACAGGTCTTGATGACATCATCCATCATAAGAATAAAGAGGTAAGGTGAGAGAATATCACATTGTCTAACACCGCTGGTGATCTTAA